ATACACGCATTTAAATTACTATTATAACAATATCGCTGTTATTATATTATAATATTATTGTAGGCACCCATATATTATTATTGTATTGTACGCGAGCGCATCATAACATTATACGAATATAATATAATAATAAATATCCCTCGCCCCACCGACACGTCGCCGAACCACAAATCCCGAAGTCGACGTGTCCTCCGCACAAACTGAGGCCCTCGCTGCATACATTATAATATGATAATATTACGTTCTTATAATATAATAGTGTTATATAATATGTATACTTGCGCGTCGGGACCAGATACGAGACGATTGCTCGCGACCGTTTAACGTAACGATTTTCGTGTAATTTATCGCCACATCCAGTCGAACTATATACAAGTGCGTAGGTTTAATATATATACCTACAACAATATATAAGTATAAAACAATTTATATAATATATAGGCTCCCGATAATATAGGGAGAATTGCTACGAAATACATCCGAATTTAAATTTATGTCATATACTTAAATAATATCGCAGATGAGTCGGCCCGCGAGATGTCAAAAATATAATACGAACAAGATGAGGTTATATTTGTTTCGAAGTTTTGCGTTCTTCCATAGGTACGCAATAAACCGTACACGATACACAGCAGTAATATTATTACGGTAAGCCCGAAAGGTACTTGGGCGACGGGGGTACCCGAGAGATGGTCCTAATGTCAATAGAGTCAATAGACGGTTGACTTATTTCCCTTTAATGTGTATTCAAAAAGTTCATCATCAATAAAAAAACATAATAGGTAATAAGAACATAGTGTCAGCTCTTGTCTTGCAAGACTCAAAAATGTAATTCCTGCAGTGAATCATCTTTTTAATACTCAACCACATCAACCAAACAGGACCTATTATAGGTATGGAAAAGAAAAATATTGAAGAAAAAATGTGACGGACATATTATTATTATAATTTATAACACAATATATATAAGCGAAAACCTCGCCGTGGTAATAATACATATACATAATATACGCCTCTATAAAACACGCAACGGCGTGGCCAGTTGGCGGGTGAAACTTTCAAAAAAAAAAATTTGCCAAAGGAAAAACGAGAGGCGCGTTTGCCCGACAGCGATTTCTCGGTACACTCCTCACGCCCACTCCGGCTGCACGCATTTCCAAAGCACTGATAATGCAATCAACACGGTGCGCACGCACAATGAACGACTGATTATTGTTATATATAATAATCATTATTGTAATCGTAAAAAGCGACGAAAAGTTTAAAAAAATGAAAAAAAAAAAATAAATGTTTGGTAGTAGCGATAATAGTATACTACAGTCGTATAGTAGTCACCACCTCGCACCCTTAGAGAAAACCCGGTCGGGGTTTTCAATAGATCACTGATTTCCACAAGGGCCGCCCGCAACCGTCGACAGTTGTCACTGATCACTTATTAGAGTTTTTTGCGACCGCTCTATATATATACCGCTTGTCCGCAAAAGCAGGGTAAACCCCATAACTTGGTTATACCTACTTGCTCAGTGCTCTATACATAATATTTTTGAATTATGTTTGTGGGACACGAGGCAAAGTCGTTATAAATTATTCCTGTAACTCACAATTTTTTAACTCTTCTATTTTGCGCAACAACTTAACTTTTTCTGCGCGCTCTCTGTTTGTGTGAACGCACGCGGTACATGGTAGGTACGATTATAAGACGTGCGTTACGACCGCGGTTAAACTCAACTGCAACTAAATAATATAGGTATTATAAACTATTGTGATTATTATGCACGCGAGCGGTAAAAGAAAATACCTAAAGTTCTCCGATCCGATCGATCAAACGCCGCAAGCTATCATCAGGTGTTGCATTGGTTGTACCATTATTATAGAAATATTGTTATAGAATCAGTGGTCATATTATTATAATATACATCCACTTAGCTCCAGGAATTTCAAAGTTATGAGAGACAGGATGCAATAAGTAATAACAACCGTAATGGAAGCAATAGAATATGTATTATATAACACATTTAGGCTACATTTGTCAATATGCCTACTAATATTTTTGTTTTATATTCTAGAATTATATTAAAAACTGATTTATACCTACGTTGGCGTGTTGTAATACAATATATATTTTACCATTTTTGTTGTATAGCGTATGTACTAAACATATAAAACCCACTGCACTACGCTAACGACCCTGCCCGTTTGCCTTCTATGTGACATATTATTATGTTTAGAACATTGTAAAGTGGTCAGGGCCTCGGGGGAACCTTTTTAGGTACGATATTAGTTATCCGGTGAAAGATTTAAGTTCCTACACGAGAACTAGCAGGTAAAAAAAAATACATCTCTACACACCATGTCACCCCTAAAATGGAAGTTTTCCTCAGCGCCGGGGGCTTATGCACTTGTACCTACAAGAGGATTTTATCGACAAAAAAACACCTTTGATCAGGTCAGTTATCAATCATTTTTAATATTTTTGAAATAGTAGGTACCTAATTTAGTACTGTAAAATATGTATAATATTATTGTATATCGGAAGTTGACTGATAATAATTGAATATTTTAGTTCACTGGAATCGTGTGTAAATTTAATAAATATACCTAATAATTTGGACGAGGTCAAAAGTGTCAAGTGTGCAGTATAATAATATTAACTATTAAGTATTGGTTAACTCGTATATATGGAGAGGCAGGAATTCCCAATATTTGTTTGAATTAATGCTTCGACAACTGAGGTCATTGGCCTGTTACTGTGTGGTAGGGTACGGTTGGTCTGCACACGTGTATGTATGTGGCAAGGATTTAACATCCGGGAACTATAGTGACACCGACCGTTGCTACACTCAGAACACGTTTGTGACGGAATCCAAACACCGAGCCACACCAGGCCACAATAAAGGTACCTGTTATGTCTAAGCGGCAACTTAGTAATAACTAGTATGATATATTTTTACCATTTTTTTTTTTATTTAATAAACACGGTTTAGGCCCCCCCCTCCGACCCATAGAATAGTTCTATATCCTATCACCCTTCCCCACGCTACTGCAAACCATCTATATATGCATAGGTATACATGTAGAAAAGCTTTCAATCAATACTGCAGTATTTATACCCAAGTGCGTTGCAATACAATGTTATGGAGTGGAGGACCCAAAACTATATATAACTACTAAGCTTGGTGGTGGAGGGGGGAGGGGCGAATTTCCCTTCCACGGATCCGTTGCATTGTAATATTATGATAAACATACCTCTTTGTAATCTGTCAATTATCGCGACAATGATAGGCGGATGTCCCTCACTACGCCACGCCATATGTACCTACCCATCCCAGGTATAACAGGTAGGTACGTAGGTACTGTCGACAAGTCTTCATCATTCGGGTGAGGGGCGCTTGCGCATACGGAACTTATAATATTTCACGATCTTCCCCCCCCCCCCGCCGCCGCCGCCTCCGTATAGCACGTTACCCATCTATATGTATATCCACCGGCGACTTGCATGATATTTTTGCCGCGACACGCACTCATCCGACGGACCTTTGCGGCTCGCAAACGCTGCGCAACGACCGATTCGTCGTGTGTATCATTTCGAAAGTCACGCGCGTGTTGGCTCCCGGGTTCTTCGGCACAGACTGCGGCGGTTATTTACCCGCAACTCGGCCGCGGCGGAGGTCTACTATATAATATATTTATAAATTTCTTCTTTTTTTTTCGGCGTATTATTATTCCGTTTCCTCTCTTTCTCCCGTCCCATAGCCGGCGCCGCCCGTCCAATATGTATGTATGTATTCAGAAATTATTATTCATCGAGTAGCCGCCGCCACCGTCGTCCCTCCCCCGCCGAGAGCTAATTACCAAGTTAATATACGCGCGCGGCGTATACACTCGCACAACCCTGCAAGGAGCCGTTGCGTGAAAGGCGCAAAGCTCATGCAAGTTTCATCGTAAACGGTCCGACCCCCTTCCCTCCGGCGTACAAAACGATCTCCTCATAAATTCCTCCCTTCCCGGACGCAGCGCATTACGCAAGCAGCACATCAAAAATCGCACCCGACCTCACTGCTTATAGTATAATAATATAATATATATTGTCCAGAATAATAAAATATTAGGTAAATAAATAGCCTATATAGCTTGGTGAACACACTTCGTTCCAATGCCCGAGAAGGGACGCAATGAGGGCTGACGTAAACGCTCGCTCTGGGCGTCATTTGACTGCAGCCGATGTGTCAGATTTACTCTGTGGACCCGTGTTATGGACCTAACCTAACCATTCCACTGACATGATCGAAAGGGCTACTGCAAGCGGCTGAAGAATCATAAAGAATGTTCTATAGATTGGTGGAGGACATCTTGTGCATCAAGGAAGATGAAGAGCGTATGCGAGGCAATACTCAAGGAGGGGCAGATTATATATTGTTGCAAATTCATTTTTATCATGTAATGTAAATAGATTAAACTCAAGCCACCGCGGCGTATGTACGATGTACCTATATTATATTTGTAGGTATTTTGAATAATTGTCTTCTTATATTATTGCTATCAATAAACGATGCAACTTAGACGGAAGTAATACTATATAGTAGTTCGCACATCACGGGGTACATGGGCGGTGGGTGGGAAAACTGTCAAGAATTAAAATACAGCCGCAATATCTTATCAGTTATCACCAAAATATAAATAATATTAAAGTACCTAGGTATTGAAATATTACTTTGAACTTATATAGGTCTATTAAACGATCTCGGAAGTTTTAGCCACCCTTATCTATCATACTGCAGCTGCAGTGTAGCATCCTGAAAAATGCAAGGCCCGAAAGTATAATAAAAGATGACCGCCTTCAAAGTTCCCCTGGAGTCCCTCATTCCGCGAAAGTATGGGTATCACGAGGCCACGTCCTATTGGCTAAATGTTCATCAACAAATTAGATGATTACCTACTAACAATTATTTAGTTAATATTTTTTGAACACTTCCTATAACCACAAGCCCGCGCAAATACGTTTAACTGTGATATTTGTTACCTAGGTATTTCATAAACACACCTAGGTACATAATATCAAAATATATTTTTACAAGCAAACTGAAAACGAACGCGGAGAAGAAAAAAATTGTACAAAAACCATTCCATCGTTCGACATGTCTGAACCCGAACGGCAGCCATCTGCGTCGGAACCGTTCGGCGACGATGACAATTCCGGCCGCTGCCGTCGCTGAACATGGCGAAGGCGGTTTGCACCTCGGCCAACAGTTCTGCCGGTAGCACGGGCCCGAGGCGGAACCGTCGAAGGACGGCGAGGACGACGACGACGCCGCCGCCCACTGGCCCGCGCTGCCGGCGGAACTGTTGGCCGAGGTGCAAACCGCCTTCGCCATGTTCAGCGACGGCAGCGGCCGGATGAACATCAGGAACATGTACACGGCGCTGCGAGCGGTCGGCGTGGACGCGACCGACGAAGACGTCATCACCGTGGTCGACGAATACGACCCGACCGGCCGCGGGTACATCACCGGCAACCAGTGGGCGGCGTCCGTGGCGACCCGAAGTCCACCGGACATGTGACGGTCGACCACATGCTCACCGTGCTCAAAGAGTTCGACCCAAAGTTGTTGACAGCCGTGGACGCGAACGAGATGGTGGCCAGCATGGACCATGCCGGCTCGGGACTGGTCGACTACGACGAGTTCATGGACACCATGGTCCGGCCGGCCCCGCTTGACGCAGCAACGTATAATTCCTAGTCACAGTCCGTCCACGATTCGTTTTGTATTATTATTATATTATAAATTTTAAATACAATAACTGTACTTCGGTAAGTTTGTATAAACTACCCACGGCCACTTTCTATATACCTACCTATTTCGTTTTGTGCAGTTCAAATGTATTTAACTCTGTGGACTGTTGAGAGTTGGTATTCTTATTTTATAATATACCTAGGTATCTGATAAGTGTTATACCGGTAATATATTACAGTATATTAGTCATTCGTCCGTAAGTCCTATGCCTGAACCAGCGGTCACAAAATGGCGGCCAACGGGCCGGATACGGCCCTCGGACAAATTTTATCCGGCCAGCAGACAATGAAAAAAAAGTAAAAAGCCATAATAAAGTACATAGGTAGGTTTAGTGGCCTTGCCAGTTTGTTTGCCACCGCCCGCCGGACAGTAGCTGTTTTTAAAGTTTTCGTCATTAGATATGAGACTTCACAAAAATCTGATCATTTTCCGAACAATTTACAAAAGTAGGGAACTTCGTAAATTAAAAAATTAAGAACATACATATTATAAAATATTAAGTACACGAATCATATTATTATGAACAATGTCAAGCAGTTAGTTGAGAGCAAGAATTGCCATTTTTCCCACTAATTTTAATCCAATTTTCTATTAAATATCATAATTATTTTAACATTTCTATTTTGTTTTAATTAATTATTATTTTATTTATTATTATATTAACGCCACTAGGCCACTATGTTACTTTTCCATTATAATATAATACCAATGTTAAAAATATTTGCTTTGAATATTTTGATGGCTCCCGAAAGTCGTCAAAATTCCCAATGTAGCCCTCCAAAAATATGAATTGGTATTACGTGGCCTAAACTATACAGGCGAAGGTTAATAATTTTAAATGGTAGGTAATTGAGATCATACGTGTAAAAATTTAAACGAAATAAACAAATGACAAAATATAAACGAATAAGATAAAAAGTAAAAAACCTAATAAGGCGATATACAATTGTATAACACTATAACGTCATAACGATAACAGTCTTGAAACTCGAGAATTTTTTCACCGCCAGCGAATTGAACTGTTCATGAGATGAGTTTTTGTTAAATTATTTGGCATTTCGTAAGCAACCGGAATCGAAACGGAATATAATTCAAATCTCTAAATGACGCAAACTACTACTCGATATAGGTAACCATAGTAACTGCAAGACTGTGTCTCCGTATAGTGTTATCAACGCGTAGCCCGCCGCAAGGGTTGCGGTTTTCAAGCCTAAGTACATAATAAGGTATAGGTGTTATGTATACACGGATGTAGAATATAACATACGTAGCTGCGAGCACACGAGACGGAAGAGAGAGAGGACGAGAGACGGCTATATATAATATGCAAGCTGCGGACCGGCGATAAAACCGAGAAAAAAAACCCACCCCGTCGAACTAGTCTTTCGGACAAAAGGGTTTTAACCCCCCCCCCTCGACACCGGCATAATATTATACAATACCTATATATACAAATGGGACACGAGGGGACTGACGGGTGTCACCGCTGCGGCGTGCGACTACCCGCGGGGCGGCGGTTGACGATATAAAAACGTCCGAACTGTACACAATAATAATATAATACGGCGAGGCGGAGGAATGTATAAATAAGCGACGGGACGCGAAGAAGTTTTTCTCGGCGGACGCGTCCGGTGACAACGGTCGGCCGAGTACGAATCGGCGGCCACCGGTCTCGTATGCGTGCGCGTCGTATAATACGATATGTAATGATACGCATTATTACTACGCGCCACATAAACTACGATGATGGATGGACGGAGCTGCGACGAAAAAAGGCGGCGGCGGCGTCGTCGTCGGACAACAACAAAACGGGCATTATTTCGGATATATTTTTTTTCCCTCTACCCGTTTTGATTGATTGCCCGGGCACGGGGTGCCGGTTGTTCTTCGCGCGTCCCCTCCACCCGCCCCGCGGCCGAATTCGATATTCCGCGCGCGCCAGCTCCTCGGAGCGGTTCACACGACGGTTGACGGGTCGTTAACGTTGAAAAAAAATGACGTACTACTTATTTTTATACGGGTCGGTTTTTTTGTATTTTCGTCATTGAATTTTCGCAGGCGATTCGGTCGGATATAGGTAGGTAGGTAAGTAGGAGAAATTGGGTATGATGAGTTTTGTCGAAAAACCTCGCCAACAGTATAGCTTACAATACTGCGCGTCTAAGATGTATTATTCCGAGTTACGAAAATCGTCGAGTTGATCTACAAAACGAATAGTCAGGCACCTGAACCCAAGGTAGCTCGCCTAAAAACATAATATTTTGACGTGCACAATGTGTGCAACACGAAGACCTCACACATGAAATACCTACCTACCTAACTGCAGTTGTTTAGTCAGCATCTTTTAATTTATTTTTTTTATACTGATATTAAAAATATTTTAAACAGCCAATTTGTAAATATGGTTTTTACTTTTTAGAAAAATGTTGATTATAAAAATATTTATTTGTCGTGGTTTATTTTTTACAATTTTTTGAAATCTCATTATATATTTCTGTCAAGTACTCAAGTAAAGTTGATCCAGTCGTAAAAACTTTTTTTAAATACCTATTTAAATAGGAACCTACTTGTTAATATACAGATATTTTTTTTAAAAGTTATTACTTTTCAAATTAATAATGAGTCAAAAAAAAAATTTGATATACTTAGACAAATGTTTTTACAAATAATAGTTTCCAAAAATCCAGATTTACAAATTGGATGGGTATGTTGAAATTTTTTATTTTCATATTAAATACAATAAAAATAAAAAATATTATATTATACGTGTTGTAGCACCCAAGTCAATAAGTTATATAAATAAGAAAAAAATTTAAAAATGATTTGAACACAAGTTATTTCATTTGTCAAGTCTTCCTGTTACACGTGTATCTATATACATGTATGTATATATATGTATAGGTATATTAATTATAAGTAAATATGTTTTTAAAAAGATAAAAAAAAGCACTTACCTTTTTTCTGTCAACTATATTATATACAATATAGGTACGGAACATCATCAGGCCAAGTGTTTTTCTAAGGACCGCATTGCATTCATGGTAATCATTATGATCACCATTCACTGCAATAGGCAAGTTATTAATTAGGGGGTGGGAACACCGGGGCTAATCTCTTTCTGCTAAACTTTTTTTTAAAGCATATATTCACAAGAAATTAAAATAAATAAATAAATAAAATATTCATTCTATCATTGATAGGTAATTATAGTGAAAATTAGAGTTTTGAAGTGCTATGTGGTATTGTGGTACCTCGTACCTATATTAAATTATATTATTCATAACCTAAATAATATTATTAATATAATCAACTATTAATTGACATCAGTGTCTTATTTTAAAATAGAATTTGTTACTGCGGTGGTTGTGGCGACAAGTTATCTATGTTTCAATAAGTTATTATTGTAATATTATGAATAATATAATATGAAGTACCTAAATTATTTTTATTTTCATCTTATATTTAAAATTTAAATGGTACCTTCAAAATCATAAAATTATATACATACAAGTAAAAAGTAGTAATTAAAACAGTTTTACAGTGAGAACAAGTGATGTTCACTAAGTGTCTGATGTCCGGGACCAAATGCATAATATTTTACTAACGAATTCGGTACCAATTACTTATTAATTATTATATAAGAAAAACATGTTGGTAAAATAAATGTCGTTTGGTTTTCAAACGATTTTTAAGAGCCTATAGAGGTTTTTTGTTAGTTATATTGTAATTTGGAAAGCAGTTGTTAACATAATTCAATAATTGAACAATAATTATTGTACAAAGGTAAACAAACACCACAAAAGTTTAAAATAAATACATAAACTATATAGAAATATTAAAATTGTAAGTTTTTCTTAAATGTAATATAAAGCCTTTGCTCATGGGAAATTCGGTTATTTTTAAGTAATTAATTAAAATAATTACAATCTATAGGTACTTTATGTCAATCATCAATGCACAATAACTAATAAGTAATTTTGGTGACCAAGAATTTACATTAGCAGAATTATTAAGGATGGGAGAGCACTCAGTAGTACCACCAGACAGGTAAATATTGGTGAAGACTATAGTAAGTCCCTAAATCAGCATCTTGTTTTAGTCATAGGTTAGAATTTTAGGGGATAGTACGAAAGGAAAGAAGTTCAATTAGTGGAATTTAGTGGTTTTGAACATTTTAATTGAAATGAGAGCTTGTAACTTTTTGCAAGATGTTTTAGTGTTTGAATTTTGTGATCTTTGATTAACATTTGTTATGTAACATTGAGACACAGAGTGTAGATTATATGACTGCAACATTCTATTACTAGAAATTTAAGCTGAACCCCCTTATATTCAAAAAAAATTGGTAACTAAATAACTTTTATGTAAATTAAATTTTGATAGACATAGTATTTCTAAACTTACATGGAAGATATAAGGGGACTTAGAGGGCATGTATTTAAGTCGACCCCCCCCCCCCCCCTAAAAGGTTGAGCCAATCTAAAACACTTCAAATATTAGTAGATTTATGATACTAAAATAAATATATTATCATGTGTAATCTATTTATTTACATTTGTATAAATACCTATATATGATTGAGGGCCACATTTAAGTAAGTTAGTTAAAGGTTAAGTCTTCTTAAATTTTTATATTGGGTAAAATTAACATCCTCCCATCCACCACTCATTTGACCAATGTAAGCTTTGATGTCTCTGTGTACCTACTAATTTTAAACCGAAGCCAGTCAGAAGAGTGGATGTTCTCTGACATAGACGAATAAGGTATTAAACTATTAAACATTTAAACAAGACACATTGTCATAATATTTATATACCTAAATTACCAATTATACAAAATCACAAAACTACTTTTTTTTTTATATATATTAACATGTCACATCATATAAGTATACATGTTCAATGAAAGTTGATCACTCTTTAAAATCATATTGAATTATGGTAATAATACATTTTAGGTGTAAACATTTTTTTTTTTCAAACAAATAACAACAGTTAAGAAATAAAAATAATTCAAAGCATTTATTTTTTAAAAAATCAAGAATTAAATGGTATAATTAAGATCATTAGCAGGTCCCAAGTCAATACTCTAAAAACAAAATTCCTAATTATTTGTACTACAAATGAAATGAAGTGTACAAGTTGTAAAATATATAGGGTTTGAAATATTTGTAAATTTAAAGCAGTTTCAAGCATTTTTATCTACTCGGATGTACAAAATATATAGTAATATGAACCGATTGAGTGACATTTGTTCAAAATAACAGATATAAAACTTAGTATAATAGAAGTTATAATAAGAATATATTCATTTCATAGTTTATACAAGTGTTTATAAGTATTTAACAAATAAATAATAACAATTAAGTAATAAGTTTACGTAGGAGTAAAAATTAAAGAGGTCTGTGGAATATATAACGTATTTTCTACATATCCTTGAATTAAATATAATATGTATAATTGTAAAATTATATCCATTAATAATAGTTAATATGATTTTTAATGCTAACTAATTATGTTAATTTGAGTTGTATGTTGTACAATGTACATGATATATAATATATTGTACTAATTTGTGTATGGTACAATATTATAATGTACACATATTTTGATTGAAATTTAAAATGGACATTTTATAAAAAAATTAAATAATAATTACTTCTTGAAGTAAATTTAAAAAAATAAATTTGAGTACCTACTAAATTTACATACTATATAATTACATTGCTTATAAATAAATTTGTAAAATGTTTAAATAAAATCCTTGGTTAGGAATTAAAATACTTATAACAAAAAGAATGGTACTCTTCGATTATCTTGATTACCAATCATAGTACATAAAGAGCCGGTGGGGTCACTCGCTCGGACAATTTCTTGACGGGCTCTACATGATATGTACAATCTCTAAAGTAAAGTTAGGTTACTCTTAGACCTATCCAAAATAGTTTTACATCATAGTGAATCGAGTTATGCCATCGATTCTATTTGTGCTATGGTTGGTAGTCACAAAAACCGAAAAGTACTTTTACTTTAAAACTACCACAGTTCTACAGTTCATTTAAAAAAATTATCAAGACTATAATTTTGTTTTATTATTATTATATCGAATTCGGATAAAATTAATTACACTACATTTAAATGCAAATGTATTTTAAAACTATTTACGCATTGAAGGTTTTAAACATTACAATAAACACAACTTTTTGTTTCTAAAATAACATTAATGTCTTTCAAATGCAATAATACAATTTTAAACATGTATTAATCATGATTAAAAATGTAATGCCTCCAAATGCATTTTAAATTAATATATATAGACTAAGTCCTTAAAATAATGTCATATATTATATTTATTATTTTTGAGGAAAAATAAAATATCAGGTTGGTAAGTCACATATTAAAATAAATATTGCCTGTTGGAAAAACATTACATAATTAATAATTTCATTACCTGATAAATTACTCTGATTCATTATACCTATAACGCATCATCTTCTTCACACAATCTTTGTACGTTTCACGAGGGCCTGGAACAACACCGACAGCCCTAGTACCTAGTCCAGCATTTGCTAGTCTACCTTCAGCTTCTATAATAGTTGTCCGTCCTTGATTACTTTTACCTAATCCCATTCCTTCTTGCCAACCCATTTTCTGTAATAATTTGTTACCTTTATTGTCTGATCCAATTCCCAGTTTAGTTGGTTGTTCATAATCTACAGTAGCTTCTTTAGCCTTCATGTACTTGTCTTTTAAGTTGTTTAAAGGTTTATCAGGTTCATTATATTTCATCCTTCTTTCTTTTGCTCTATCCCTATATTGAATAACTCGTTTTGATTCATCGTCAGGATCCAACCCTCTCTCATTGTACCAATTTCTAATATTTTGTTTATGTAAGTCAGACATTTGTTGATGTTTTATTAATATTTCTTTGCTACTAAACTGTCGTTTGCATAACAGACAAGCAAGTTTAACCCAATCAGTATGTTGTTCATCTTCATTTCGATTGGCTTCTTCCATAATTTCATCAGTGTAACAATTGTCATCAGATGTGGAAGCAACTGGAAATTGTGGTCTTTTAGGTTCTGCCTTAGTACCCATCACAGAATACCCAATATCTGCTGCAGCTTGAGTTCTTGCAGTTTGTATTGCAACTTGGGATGCCACCAAATTTTGTTTAGCAGAAATTTTTTTTTGATTTAATGTTTTTGCCCACTTTTCCATATCCTTGGCAATACGTTTTGCTACTTTTACTTTGTCGTCATCTTTTTTTTCTTCTACAGGAGCCTCTTCTTTTTTAGGTTCATTATTAATGTTAGTTGCATCAGAATTTGAATTTTCATTTGAAGGTGCTGATAAATAGGTTTGTTTTGTAGCATCCCAATAAAGAAAACTATTTGTAAAACTGTTAAAATAATACTGCGAGTTTGCATCGTAATAGAGCTTTGTGTGTGGATCATAATAATAACCAGATCCTTTGTCATATTGATAAGTAGATAAATCCGGTGGAGAGTATGTGGCATCTCCTTTCCCAGATGGAGGTTGACTTAAAGGGTCGACTTTATTAGCAATAGGTAATGGAAAAGCTGGAACGGCTTGTGATATTACAACTGTACCAACAGGTGCATAAACAGCCGATATAGGTTGTACTGACGGTACGGAAGGCATATTAATAGTCTCTCCTTTTTGAATTTTATCTGTGTAAAAATTGGTGTAATATTGTACATAAGAAGTTCGTTCAACAGGAGTTTTTGCATAAATATTTGCACTAAATTCCGCAAGTCTAGGAACATCAGCAATAGTGTAGTTTGGAGTTTCTGGTTTTTGATTGCTCCATTTAGCTGCTTCTACTGCAGCATTACCCATTGATGCAGTAGCTATTGGTCCAACAGGCCCAAGTTTACAATATGATACAAGAACTTCTTTTCCATCAATAAGCAATGGATCTTCCACTATTAATGCATTATGGAGATACATAGCATCAACCACATTGTTCATTTCTAAGTAGCAAAGACCTTTCGACACATTTGTTAATGGATTTCTACCGATTCGAACACTCCGAATAGGCAATGTTGATAGTGGCTGTATAGCTTTAAGAACATTTTCTTCAGTTGTACACAATTCTAGTCCTCGAAGTAAAACTGTATGCGTAGGATAAGAACTGACTTCTTTGGTGTGATCAAATATTTCTCCCACTTCTCTTGAGGCTCCACATACAAAACAGCTTTCCCTGCGCTTAAAGTTATGAGCATTGCATTTACACCACCAATCAGATAACATTTTTTCAGGGTCGATTGTAGAAATAGTATACTGCATGATTGCTCTGAAGTTATCTCTCAGCATCATTTCACCCTGTTTACTTTCCATAAGTGTTTCAGCTTCTGCTTTTGTAAAAAATTCCACGAATGCAAACCCACGAGATGACCCAGTGTCTTTTTTTCTAATCAGACGTATATCAACAGGTGTAAGACCACATTTCAATATCTCTTTTCTTATATCAATTTCAGATATATGAGGAGCTAACCCACGAACAATAATAGTTTTATTTGGAATTTGTTTTTTAAATGTATATCTATCAAAATCTTCTTCACGATAATATTCTTGTGATCCATCTTGACTTCTTCTTGTATCCACAGTATTATTATAATGATGCCGAGTACTAGTAGTAGCTGAATCTGAATATATGTTTCTAACTCTTGGCCCATCTGAACCTTCTAGACTTCTTGAACGACGTTTTCGACGTTCTTCATCACTACTATTATACTGACTTGTTTGAGAGTCACGATCACCCGGGGAATATCTACTCCTTCGTTTGGGAGATCTAGACCTGGATCTAGATCTTGATCTAGATCTAGACCTACTTCTTGACCTTGACCTATGGTGCTTTTTATGTTTGCTACGTCGCCTACTACCGTGTCTACTTGAACTTTTATCATGTTTACTTTTTTGGCTATGACCACGACTTCTGCCTCTTTCTTTACTTTTTTCAGTTTCCAGAAACGAATCTACAGATTTATACCAATTAGTTTTATTATTTGAAGTATCTACAATTTGTTCATTGTTGATGCTATGATTAGATCCGTTTGAACGAGGAGATGAATCATAAGCTACCAAATCCATTTCAACACTTCGTCTAGTAGATGAGTTTACCTCATCATTTGAATCATAACCACATGTATCCTTGACCACAAACTCTGCGTCCATCTTTACAATGAAACAAACAAACAGACAATATATATTAGTTTAAGAAACTTATTAACTTTAAATTTGTATTCCTCAAACGCCTTGGTCCCTTTTACGACCTTCTTCAGATATGATTTTCTTTTATTATTACTTACCCAAAAGTAATAGAGTTAATTAAATGATGCAAATTAGTTACATACTATTCATTTAAATTAACATTACTTATATATAAACAAATTGGGATTATAAAACATTTCTATAGAAAAATGAAACTATTTGGGTATATAATGTTATAGTTTCTATATTTGGTAACAAATTATACATTTTATTTATAACAATTATAATTAATATAAGACATCATAATATATTATATAAGTGGATTATTATTAATTGTTAAATAATGATTAACATACAAGACTACAGTTAAATTTAATTTAATTTGGTCCTACCTCAAACAAAAATGAATGTTCTGTGAATGTAGCACAGGCAACGTAGCTTTAACTTATTCTTGACGATTGTTTGGATTGTTGAATAATCTGTAATACAATTTGTATTGAAATTGAGTGCAATAATTAGAATGACCAATTTATGATCAACAGTGGACACTTCGTCAACAGTGATAATCAATCTGTCAGAGGCTCAAGACGAATTTCTGAGGCATAGCCGATATCGACTAACTTTGTTTAAAATTTGACTAACCTTTGGGTATTAATACTAGTCGAGAACTAGTTTGGAACAGTCCTAAACAACCAAAGCGTAATGACTGAACAGGCTGATACACAAATCTGCAATACATTTACAATGACTTATGATATTACATCCAAATATAATTTAAATATCCATTAATGAAAACAGTTGACTCCAGTGGTGAAATATATTTAATTACATAAATGTGGTTTTTCATGTATTCTTCTAATTCTTAAAATATTTGTGCAAACTAAATTTACTATGCATTATAATATTTACCATTACAAAATATTTGTATACAAGCTTAATTATTAGTATGCTATAGTTACCTAACTTATTTAATACTGAGGTATAAAATAAATCTATTTATATTAATTGTTGAGACTCATTATATTTGCAGTATGATGCAAAAAAAAAAACCCTAGTTATAAAATTTTACAACCAACTTAAAATTACTATAATTCATACAACTAGCTATACAAGCGGAATTACAAAAATAATTATAAAACAATCCATTATAAATAATTAAAGCTATTCAAAGTATCATAACATTCCTATATTATCTAAGAAAATATTACAAAAATGAAACTAACCATTTTTCCTTAGGTACCTACATATTTATTTTTTACTTAAAATTTGAACTAAACTGAATTAACCTCGGAATTAACAATAAATAAATATTTATTTAATTAAATAAGACTATCTAATAGTTAATACTCTGTTCAGTGAGAGAGCACTCCGATTCTGCTCATCCCTCAGCGTCACTATCCTATCAAAACCGGTTTCCCAATGGCATAGTGCTACATAGGGGAACCAGTTTTCGTCAGTCACAGTGCAGTCTCTCGCTGAACAGTGTATAGTTAGATAATTTTAACTATGAATTATTGGAAGTAAAGTTTTAGCCTTACAAATTATAATAAGTGTCAATGGAAATCTTTTAAGGCATAAAATAAAAAATGTACTTAATCACTAAATATTATATATGTACATAGACCAGAAGTTTAATTGGAATAAGTAATAATCTTTGTAATATTGTACTATGAATACCTCTGTTAAATATTTAGAATTTTATTTAAATGTTAGGTAAACCAAGTGATGTATTTATCATAAGACACTCTTTATTTTAAAAAAAACTATTAACATCTTTAATGATTATTATTATCATTTTTAAAATGTTTTACTTTTTTGTTTGAAATTAGATTTTGATAGATCCAAATACTTTGTACAACATTTTGCTTTGGAATATAAAATTAAAAATGTATATTGTTATTCAAAAGAGTAAAAACATTGAAAATAGTAAAATATAATTTGCTCCCAAAAAAGTTGTTTTGTGACGACTTAAAATTATGTAAAAGAAATATGTTCATAAATGTCAGTTTTCTGAGCTAATGAGTGTCCTACCATTCAATTTGTATAATCAATCATGGAAACATGTATATATTTATAATACATAATAATGTAAATATATTAGTATGATAAATGATAATAATATGTAGATTAGGTTCAAATTATTATAAATTGTTTTATTTATATTAAAAACATAGTAGACTGTAATTAATTAATAAATTACTGTAGATACTCAATGATTTTCATATTTTGAATTGATATTGAAACAAAATTAAAAATGTTGTTTGATTTTATCTACAGTGATAGGATTTCATAATAAAGTCAACAAAAATATAATTAGAAATATTAAATTGAAAAATAAATCTCTTAAGAAACGTTGACTAATTTAATTTAAATACCTTTTTATTAGGTGCAATTTTCATAATTTGTTAAGGGGTACTATACTTTAAACATTTTTTTAATAAATACAACAAAGGAATCTCTAATTTGCTTTTTATATTACTAACATGATTTTAAGATAAAAAAAATATTTGAATACTCACACAATTTATCATAATAGGCACCTACCTAACTAATCATAAAACTTAATTGAACGTTTTAATCATAAATAATATATAATATTTGCTATTTGCATATTATACTTTGCAGATATAGGTATGAAGTTAAATTGTTGAAATTAAGGAACAGTCAAATTATTTTTAACATAAACTTCAGATAATTTTGTCATAACATTAGTCATCTTTATCTGTCACATACTTATATAATATTATAGCAAAACCAATATTTGCATTTAATAGAGTAAAAATGTAGCACATCTAAGATATTAAAGAAATTACTACTAGTGTTAAATTATTGTTAACTTCAAATGATATTCAATAATCAATGTGTATGATATATAAAAAAATTATTGAAAAAAAAAGTAGATAGGTATAGTGCAGATTCTCAGTAATTTTGTTTGATAGGTTATGCTTAACAAATTTGAACAGTTACCTATGAAATGATAAATAAAAAGGATTACCTTAGCCAAAATGAGTGTGTGGATAATAGATACAGCAAATGTTATGCTAACATTATCTTGAGAAAACACTAAAATGTTGTATAAAATGTGCTTAAACAAAATTGGTTATAGGTAGAGTATTAAATTAAAATTTAAAGCTATTAGTTAATAAAACTGCATAGGTAGTATAAACTAATTACTATAAATATCATTATTTTATGTACCATAGGTAGTTATTTGGTGTATAGTAATATGTTGTAGGTTAGTTAAATAACCTAGGTTAGATTAATTATTCAATTAATAGCCTATATGACATTATAATAAACCTATACTACATCTTTGTTTTTAAAGAAATGTTGTTGTACTTAGTATTTATAAAAAATCCTGCTTAAAATGATATAAAAATATAATTTTAACTAACAAAATTTAGCTTACTAAACATAAAACATTATGCATTTAATTAAGTCAACATAATAAATATCCAATCAAAAAGTAATTAACTATAAATTATAATACATATACAATCATAAATACAAGTAACATACAAAATATTTTATTTTAAAATATGATCCACACAATTTGATGATAGTTCATAAAATAGCTCGTCAAATAGCAAAGTTGTATGCTAAAGATTGTTAACTAATAAAATAAATAAATACCTAGTACCAAAACCAAATAATTTAATACATATTAAAAATGTCGCATGTCCCTTATACTTTGATTATTTTAATAGCGATGGTGTTCTATATCTTGCCAAATAATCCATTAGGTATAGTTTTTACACAGGTACATATATAAAAATGTATTTAGATTCTTAAATACCTTTGTAAACTAATAAAATTTGTCGCAAAATTTGAATACTAAGCATCTAAACCCATTGATGTTATTTCTTATTTTAAAAATGACATTATTGGATTATGAAATAATAATTTTAGTGTACTATGTCTTTTTAATAAGACATTAATTAGAAAAGTTTAGGTTAGGTTAGATAGATGAAAGTTATCAAAATAGACCTACATTAAAACATTACTCACACATCTATTAAAAATGATGCTGATTGCTGATTGTGTTCCGTAGCCACACATTTTATAGTATAGATTTTCTAAATTGCAGTAAAAAAAACACACATACCTAGCTGAGAAAAAATATTTCAAATCCCTATCCTGTTTTGAGATTTTATTAGGGACCATAAATTGACATTCATACATATAAATAAACATATTCAAAATAGGTAAACGCTCGTATTTAAGAACTGTATAATATAACAATCAACTTCTGACAAAATATGTAGGTAGGTAGTTGTCGTAATCTTCATTGAACACATCAACGATGTGAAATTATTTTCAAACAACGAACAAAATGAATAGTTATTATTGAAATCATGTCGACCGCATTAGGCTGTTGTCTACTTACCTATAAACGAGCTTCGGCACCCGATGAGAGTACGTTCGTCCGACAAATGACTTATTGAGCTGAACTTGTTTTGACCGTGTGTCACCGAATAATTATCACTCCGAACACACCATGTATCGGCGGCGTTGACATCGCAATAACGTTTAACGAGGACCACTAAGTAAAAAAATCACTCATAACATTGATTTTAATTTCAAATGATTAAAATATTTAAATTTTTGTTACTTTAAATTATAATTTACGAATATTTATGATCATTGTGGCATTGTCCATTCGTTATCAGTAGCTGCTGATAACGCGGGCCCGGGCAGACGGCGGTAGCACGCCGTAAAATTCCAAAGAGAATGCATAAGCTACCCGCTCTTTTTTAATCAATACCAGTAGTTGTTTACCGTACATAATATCAGCCCATCAGGGGGTTAGGCCTACTCGGGTTCTATTACCCGCGGCCCTCAAAACCTTTTTTTTTGCAACCCCCCCCCCCCACCTCACAGGAAGTCATATTTTATTGAATGATTATAAGCAACCTAAACATCATAATTAAATATTATTATCAATCTGGAATGGTTATTAGTTTATAGGTCTATACGGTAAATGGTAATAACTTATTCATTATACATTTATTTACATATTATTATGTTTGTTACTCTGTTATAAAATAATAATACAATTTTTTTATTCTTTCGACTCAAATGTTTATATTATGAATCATGAATGTGTAAATTGGCCCACCAACTACAAGAGCTTGGATCACTCTGGTAAGTGTATACGCGATATACTTAATAATTAGAATCAGTGTGATCAATGCTGAATGATGTTTTCAAATAATAACAATTATTATTTATTAGGTATGTACTGTTATTATTTAAAAATTAGATTATTAAGTGTAATTATTGAATGCGTATTGTTTTATAGTTAAAAATGTGGCTCTTAGGTATTTCACCCAAAACTGACCTGTAACTCCTCACGAATTGCCAGACAGTATGTAAAATTGTTTTCCATTACAATTTGAATTGCCCCACGACTCCGCTGCACTGCAGTACCTAAGTACATTGTACATAAGTGTAATGTTTGAAAATTTCAGTATTTTAATAAATTTTGTTTTATTTTTAAATAAGTTTTATATTTACATATAATTGTCATCAATTACCTTCATAATTGTATGGTACCTATATGTATACCTAACCTTTGGTATTATACATTTAAAATGGTATTCAATATTTTTAAATATTTTAATGTTTAAATGATACAAGTAGGTATACAATATTATACATGTATATTGTATACGTACTGAATTCTCACATTAGAATTTAGAACACTGAACATTGGGTTGAAAAAATAAAAAAATGTGTTTTTATATGTATTAATAAAAATTTCAATGTTTCACGTTTTTGTGAAATATTTCATACTTCAAACACTACATATTATGTGCAATCAGTGGTGGATCCAGAGAGGGCCCTGGGACTTACTAGTCCCCAATAGCCCTTCTATTGATTTCAAAAATTATCAAATGTATAAAAATATAAATTAGAAAATTATTTAATAACATAATAATTTTGCTTCTAAATATTAAACTATGCCGGAGTTAGTTTTATCACAAACATTTACTGCGCTTTACATATTTTGTTTTAATTATCTATTTATTTTTAAAGAATTTAATCCTGGATCCAAAAATGTGTGAAATGAACTGTTTTTATGAATACAATCTATATAATAAAAAATTATACATAATTACATATTTTATAGCTGTTTATAAGTTATATGCTTATAACATATGCGTTCAGCGTTGCAGTCAATGTCACATTATTAGTGGTATAAATCATTGGTATATCTATGGTATAAAATATGAAATTGATAAAAGCGATCAGAAAATTGGAAGATACCTACCTATAGTGCTGGGGGGAGGCAAGCTGTGCGGTCGCAAATTATGTAATCTGAATATCACTTTATCAATAAATAATTGTAATAAAATTGTCCCAATAGTACGAAAATTGCGACTTGTGCGGACGAGTGGTAGGAAACGGGTTGTTATCGACGAAAATCAAAACAGTAGTAATATTATACATACCTACCTTACCCATTTGTTATTGGTTTGAAAGTATACTCAAACATATTTTATATTCTTAATTTAATTATAAGAACAATTAATCACTACTACCATCAATAGTACCACGTAGGTAGTCACCAACTTGGAAAATTGTTTATCGTCGACGACACAGATATATTATAATATAATAATATATATTACATATATCTGTGGTCGACGACGACCGATGACGGCACACAATATAGCTATAGCCTATAACAGTGGCTTTCAAACTTTTATCAAACACGGTAAGCCGTGTTCCTGAAAACATTTTAGCACCGAAAATGTGTGATTGACGGCTAACAAATTTTTATTAATTTTATTTTTATAATTTTATTCTTGGACGAATAGTTGAAATTTTTCAGAAGACCGTTGCACACTTAGTGATTGCTGGCGACACACCAGTTAGAAAACCACTGACCTAAACATCGTACTTATAAATAGAATAATAATATAATATTGCTTTCGTAATTTAATTATCAACGAAAATTATAATACTCTTTTGTAATGAACTACGAAAATAATTTTTATGCTGCCTACAAAGGGCTACATGGGCATACTCTATAAATATCTAAAATTAATTGGTATTTAAAAAAATTAACATTATTTTGTATCGAACCAAATTTCACATTTATCCATGGATTACAACATTTTTTTCCATGTTAGAATCATTAAAATTATTCTTGTTTGAATTTTAAAAACAAGATGATAAGTAATATTTTTTTTCACGGGTACTTACTTACAGAAACTATACTGAATAAATCGAATATTTCTATATTCTGTACCATGGCGTATATTATTTGTACCTAAGTAGGTAGGTCGCAGGTGCCTATTAATTTTGTGTCTAATATAAAAATACAAATTGGATTTTATTAGTTTACAAATACAAATTTAGATTTTTAACAAGACCTTAAAGTTTATACAATTATATAAAAATAAAGTAAGTAAGTCCAATAGAAAAAAAATAAATATGGGGACCCTCAAAATTCTACACCGGGCCGGTGTAATAAATCTATGACAAACTTCCGTGTAAAAATTTTAATTGAGTAAAAAAAAATGTAAATTTATTAGGCTCCTCACAGCTCTATACAATAAACCTATTGGTAATAGTTATAACTTTATAATAATTATTAATAACTAACGGTACTTGGCAGTTATTGCTTGCCACGGAGACGTAACAATTTATCACCCAGCTGAAGCTACAATCTTTGATCTAAAATCTAAAATGGCGATAGGTATACTCGCATGACCGAGATTTCTCTGTATCTCTATAATATCTTACGTGCGTAGAGAAGTCAGTACTTTATCTTTTTATAGAAAAAGAGTAAAATATACTTTAAAAGTACTTCTTTTAATATTTAAAAATTGTATTTTATTATACATTATTATGATCATGTATAATAAATGTATAATAAATGTTTGTATTTTGCAGGGTGTGTGTGCGTCGTGATTTAAAGTGCATATAGATAGGTTAGGTTAGGTTAGGTTATCTTACAAACGATATAAGCTCGTTTTAAAATATTGTTAAAAATTAATTATTTTAACGAGGTAGTTCCCTCCGCAATATATTTTAATTGGTAAAAGACAACTAATTTATATAACGGATCTAACTTGTACACTCTCCGCCGCGACCATGACAAGTGTTCCGCCTATAAGCCCACGGGTTTATTCGTCGTCACTAAAATGTGCCCTCGCGTTGTCGTTTTAAATTTGTAACACGAGTGAAAAAAAAAACGATGCATAAAACGAACATGATAGGTAGTAATAATAATAATAATAATAATAATAATCATAATAATAATATATTAAAACGATGACGGTGGCCGGCTGGCGGCTACGCTTGTTTTAGTCCGGACCGTTGACGGTGCAACGCTTTGGATAGCTGCGGCCCTGGTACGCCGACTCGCATTGCGCACAACAGCTGGTATGATCGACGCTGCCGTGGAACGTTGTACCGAGACGACCAACGCCGGATCATGGGATCCCGATCCGGTGATTCGCCTACAGTATTTTATTTTTCCAACCATTTTCATAATCCTCTACAACATTCTTGTCGTTTTTAAGAGGATGTCAGCGCACTATTTGTTTCTCTCTCTGGCCCAGCATAGACAAAACGTATGAACGCAGAATCATTTTTTCTATGTTTTAAGTAATCTTAGAGTAAAATTACCTATTACAAAAAAGATAGAGAATAATATTTTTGAGGGAATGTCATATCGATTTTATATTTTATATTGTTATTTGACTTTGTATTCGACTTTCAAAATAAACAAAAAAAGTTGTACATTAAAATGATGTTTAAATTGTTTTGAGACAATATTTAGACAAATCGATATGACATTCCCTCAAAAATATTATTATCTTTTTTGTAATGGGTGATTTTACTCTAAGATTACTTAAAAACATAGAAAAAATGTTTCTGCGTAAATGTGTTTTGTCTATGTTGCGCGTGGGTCAGAGAGAGAAAACAAATAGTGCGCTGACATCCTCTTAACGGCGCTCTTCAAGTGTTGTTGTTATTATTATTATAATATTACGCTAATTATTGCCAACCGCCCAAACTAAAATACATAATAATTTTAATAGTAATAGTTACTATATAATATGTTACATACTCATTGCTACATACTTATATGTTATAATTATTATTATTCATTATTATTAGACCAATAAGCTGGCGAAAAATACACATACTTCTAGTAGTCCAATTTCAATTTTGAATGCTTATTTGGATTCGTTAGCCTCTTTTCTATGATCTGTAGGAAAAACTTTTTCATCTTTTTGTCTAGTTAGCACTTAAAAGTGCAAGTCAAATTTGAGAAATCAAGCAGTCATTTGGAACCGTAATATACGTAAATTATCTAAAATATCCCAAATCGGTTTCCTACAAATCATAGAAAAGAGGCTGACGAATTCAAATAATTTTTCAAAATTGAAATTGGACTACTAGAAGTATGTGTATTTTTCGCCAGCTTATTGGCATTTTTCACTGTTGTGAGTGTACAAAAATATTTTTCGAGAGTGATTACTTTGACTTGTGCATGCGCGTACGTGTGCTATTGAACCGTGTGCCCGCAGCCGGGCGATATAAAATCTATTGTTATCGAGTTCGAATTTCTTCGAATTTCACACTAATAATCATTTACGACTAACACATAGATTAACATTATTTTATTATATTACTATTATATAAATATTTTAAATACTTATAAATATTAAAATATTTAATAAATGTTTATCAGTTTAGGTACTATTTTTAATTTATTTTATGTTAAACATCTTAAATCATAAACTATAATAATAATATTTATTTAATTATTTATTAATTTTTATTAGATAGAAATTACAATGAAATGGACAAAATAATAAATTACTTTAGGCTATGGTGGCCAGATTCCGGGACACCAAAATTCATAAAAAACAGGTAAATATCTAGTAAGTATATAATTACATAGGTATTTGTATATAACTTTTAGGTATAAATAATATTCAAATTAATCAATTAGATAGGCCATCTTTATTTTAATTAACACTCAAAAAGTCAACCAATATCTTAGACTCGAATCTTGTGAAAGAAAATACGACTTTAAGCCATCAAGGCATCAAACATAAACATAATTCTGTCAATTGCAGGAGACAGCGATAGCCATCTAGTTTTGGCATGTGATAAAATATCGCGGTATTGGACATTAGCAAAATCGCAAATTTCTTTTAATTTTTCTACCCTCACCGTATAAATGTGGAAATATCCAAAAAGTTAGGTTAGATTAGGTAATAGCTTCTGCGTCAATAGGTAAATTATCTGATGCGATTTGTACAGCGTTATGTAAGATATGAGCGTTGCAACCTAATCCAAGTATATCTTTTTTTAATTCTGTCTGAAGTTTTGTGTGCACGTTATTTTTTCCTTTTCTATTTAATCCACCAAAATGAGTGTTTGTACTATCAGCCGATAGTGCAACAATTTTTTGCTTTAATCCGAATTTAGTAAGAACGTCAATAATTTTAGAAGTAATTAAATCAGACGTTTCACCGGGTAAATTTGAGAACTCTAGTAATTTGTGTTTTACACCAACATGAGGCAAAAAATAACGAACAACAACAGGTACTAGTTAATTGCTTGTGGTTGAACCGTCAATAAAACAGATACATATTGCAAAAGATAGTTCTTTTAAGTATTATCAATATGTACGGGCAATAGACTTCGGTTTTTGTTTTGAAACGTGATTTTTTGTCGTTAAACATGCGAATCAATCGATGTACAAAAAACGATTTGTCAGTAAAAAGGAGGCTAGCAAAAACTCATTTCAAGGAACGCAGAAAAATAGTTGGAAACTTTACCAGATTGAACCGATGATCTTGTAGCTAACTTATGTTTTGCGTTTTGAGGTGATCGTTTATGTCGATCGTCCCCATGACTTACTGAAAAAGTTCCATGGCAAGTTGTACACTGTACATTGAAATCGTCAGTAGATTTAAGTTTTTTAATAAATGGGAAATCATTTTGCAAATTTTCGTTAAAATGACAAAGTCTTTTAAGCGGCATAGTCACTACGTAAAAAATTGAACTGTATAAAATGACGACACTGTAAATTTCGCACTCGCGTACAACTTGTATCGTCAGTAAATAACTGTTAACTAATGTATAATGTATAGTCTATAGGTAAACTATACATTCTGTAATATTATCTTTCGTAACTGTATCGTAATCATAATATTATGGGTTTTTCCCGATTAAAAATTAATGTAGTTAAAGGCAGTAATATCGTTATCGAAATAATTTACGATTAGGATTTGTTCAAAATAAAATCGATAACCGAGTAAGCAAAAGAAATACCAATTTAAAAATGATTTTAATTTCCGGTACATTACTATGCAAAAGTCAAAAACCGGTACAATCGGTGTCCCGGGAACTTTGTCCGGGACGCCGGGACGAACCTATTGGGTTCCTAAACCGGTAATGTCCCGGGAAATCCGGGACGAATGGCCACCCTACTTTAGGCGTGTAGCTATATTTTACATTTTCATCAAGAGTAATTTTTTGGGGAAATTACTTTAATAGTATAATATAATATAATATAATGTCAGGTAAGGTTATCAGTACCATACACATGGGTAGTTTTGGGTGCTTAACTCCCCCCCCTGTTAGTTGATACAGTGGCGTGGTTGTATGGAAGAGGGGAGGGGTGACTGAGGAGGCTGCAGCGGGAGTCTCCTCCTCGAAATCTCAGGAAAATTTAAAAACGACTCCGCGTATCACGGTAAGACGTAATTAAGTAACCATGCATTAAATTAATTTTAATTTACATAATACAATACAATTATTGCAATTTGTAGAAACTAGAAAGGTTGTTGCTCAAGTCTAAAATGATATACGATTAATAATATATATATGGGACCAGCATACCAAACTTATGAAACTACGAATAAATACCTAAAAAATTATCCTTAAACGGCATAATACGTCGTCATAATTATTATAAAAATATGTAGGTTCGTTCACTGTATTACTAGATGTCGATCAGTGATTAAAAATACGTTCCTATACAGTCGTGAGTTTTCCAACTTTCGGAACCGTCTGCAGTTTTCCGGTTGTGCTAGGTTGTAGTGATGTTTTGTACATGTATATATGATAAATAAAGACCGGATTTATATTCTCTTAAAATACCCAAAATTGATGCTACTATTCTCTAAAAACCCTTCAAATATTCTCATTATATTCTCTCAAAAATTTAAAAAATATGCAAAAAATATGCAAAAAAATCAAAAAACATCATTATATGCTTTAATATGCATTTATTTTTTAAAATTTTTTTCAACTATATTTTATAGTGAGATATTAATTAAGTATTAAGAGTTGCGTATTATACCTAATGGAATAGTATTGCATTTTAGCAAGAGTAAGAAGTTGGAATATAATATAAATATAACAGTATAATATTAAAACACAAAAACAAAATGTTGATATTTGAGTATTTGATAAACTCACAGATATATACAATAATTATATATTGTATATATCTGTGGATAAACTTATAAGCTGATCTTATCAGTAGATATACATAGATAAACCTTGATAATACTGATTGTTTTATTTTTATCAAAATGAAAAAATAAATAAATAAATTGTAAATGGTCAAAAAAAATTTTTCAGAGAACCGTAATATTAAAATTAAAAATAAATACAAATTTTTGCTCACAATTTACGAAATATTCCAAAATATGCTAAATTGGTTGAATATTCTCCAACCCATGAAATATTCTCAAATATGCAAAAAAAACTTTTTTCTACGCATTCAGAATTGAACGAATCGTCCACATTTTTTACTCTCATAAGACTGCATAGACCCAGTAACGATATGTAAAAACATATAAATCCGGTCTTTAATGATAAATAATAAAAATCCGATTGCGCGTTTATTGATAGTGCCACGACTGAATGATCTCACCTTCGATTGTAAGATTTTTTTTTGAAAGTGTTCGTAAGATTACCTCCTATTTACATATTATTATTTCAAGACTATACATTAAATATTATGATAATATGTTTAATGTTATAAAATCAGAGTATTTAAATTATTTCGCGGTCAAGTATACCTTGTCATGCATGTCCTCAGCTAATCGCTATGCTGCAGATGGCTACACATGTTATACAGAGTGTTTTATTTAAGCATGCTCACCCCAAATGTTCCCTTTAATAGTGCACTTATATTCAAATACTGATTTTAGATTCTGAGTGGAACGATGAATGTATTGATTTTACAATGATGTGTGTTTTTTTTAAATTTTTTTTTTCATTTATTTTTGTGTCTGTCATCACGGTTTAGGTCAGTAAAACTGCTTCGATTTTCTTCAACAGTATCTTGTTCGATGGAAAATTGAATCTAGTTGGTGCATTTTTGAGGTCAAATTTTAAAATTCCCAATAGTTTTCACAAGCGCCGGGAAAAACAACATACAAATTAAGGAAAAACGGGCATTTTTACGCAAAATCGGTTTTCCAAAAAATCGATTTTGGTTTTTGGTGTAACTCT